TTTTTTTTTTTTTCTCTTTTTTGCGTTGTTACTCTTTTTTTTTTTTGCTTCTTAACTTCTAGAATTATTCAAGGCCGAAATTCAGTGAAATAGAATTTTGTCTTTCTATTTCTCTTTCCCTTTTCCCATTTGCATTATTTTGATTTATTTTATATCCATTGTTAATTCTTCTTTTCACTGCTTTATTGTAATATAAATTGAGTTGAAAGCGCGAAACATCGTATGTTTTTAGTGCTGTCTTCGTCTTTGTCGTTTTTTAAGTGAAGAAAGTAGATGGTGATTTAAGACAGAAAAATAGGTTGCCAGATTTTTGGTCTTTTTTTTTTTTTTTTCGTTTCTCAATGGGCATTCATCGTTACGCTGCAGATTATTGAACATTTACAGAAATAAATTGGTTTTTTTTTTTAATTACTGCCGTTTTCTCCTACGGTGTGCTGCAATCTATGGGTTTTTTTTATAGTCACCACTTTTTTTTAATGTGATGTTTGAAAAAACGTTTTCTGATCGTCTTGATCAGATAGTGATTTTCGACTCTTTTCTTGTGCTCTTTAGTTGTGGATTTTGTCGTGTAAAAAATTGGAATATTTGTTGAAAAAAAAAATGATTTTTTTTTTTGTTTTGTTACTGTGTTTGTGTGTGACGTAAATTCGTTTGGACTGAAAACGTTCTTGGTTTGTATTTCAAACATCGGTATTAGCTCGATGAGTTAAAATGCGTCAGTTCTCCTGCCTCCGTTTCTTTTGTCACTATTTTTTTTCAACGTTTTTTTTTTTTTTTGATCATTGTTCAGCATTTAGGCTTTTCGAGCAGTTCCCCCTCTTCTGTTTGCTCACTATGGTATTGAATCTTTCCACCACCCCTTCAAGTTGTTCGTCTTCTGTTGTGGCAGCAGACGGAAATCGTCGGTCGTGTTCACGTTCTTCAAATGCTAAATTTGTAACACCAGTTATGCCGTTAGATACAGAGTTTTCCATCCAAAACTGCTGCTGGTTTCAACCTGTGCCTTACGGGTAATTTTTTTGAGTGTACGTTTGTGTGTTTGTTGTAGTAGCAAAAAAAAAAAAAAATATTAGTGGTTAGCTTAATGTAATGTAGGATGTAATGTTGCAATTTTTTTTACATTTTTCTTCTTTAGAATTCTTTGTTTATTTTAACTATCATGCTGTAGCATATTTTTCATAGTTTCTTAGCTTAAACTAATGTTTTGATATGTTGACATTTTAAATAGTTTATTTTGGAGCTTGAACCATATCAATTACACTGAGGTGCACTTTAGGCTCGGCACCTATTCTTTGGAACCGGAGGCTGATTCCGACTTTGAAGATGATGATTTCTCTGAAGGGTCATCAGTGTCTTCTGATGGTGCTTCATCATTTGATTCTCAGTAGGTTTTTTTTAATAATTTTTTTGGCTTTAACAGGGCGAAGTTATTCACTTGTTCTTTATTTTACAGTTCTGTGTGTTCTTTTCCAAATGAATTGGATACTCTAAACGAACGTCGACGAGAGATGCTTCGTCTTTCTATCTCTAAAATTCAGACGATGAATGCATCCAACGTGTTTGTCTCGCTGCGCAAGTCACTTCTCATCTTCAATACGATGAAGTCTTTGCAGGTTTTTTTTTTTTTTAATGAAGATTTTTACTGGCGTTTTCTAGGTTGCGAAAGGGGGGTTGAGTTTCGTGCGTTTCATCGTCTAATATCACTAGTTTGTTTAAATGTTTCTGAGTTGTTTCATCTGAAAGTTTTTCTGAGGTCATTCTATATGTTCAAAATGTTTAGCGGGATCTGGATGAATGCGGGGAGGATGTTTATAGTAGTCTGATGGAGAGAAGTGAAGACGCACCGTGCGACGACAGCATATTTGAAGACGGGGATAGTGATGCGGGTTCGTGGGATTTTGAGAGAGACATTCCTGATTATCGTGAACAGTTGTTGGAAAGTCGTTATACTTACTGCGGTAGTTCTGCTTCTGGACGGTATCAAAATAGTCACCAGGTGCGTTTTATAAAACGTGACTTTTGCCACTCTCGTATTTGGTAATTTTTTGATTATCAGGTGAGATTGCGTTGTCAAAAGTTTATTGTTCACAACAACGTAAGAGGTCTTCGTCAGATTGATGGGCGTCGGCACTTCATTTCTAAACATAGAATTATTGACGTTTGACATCATTGTTTATTTGTAGTTTAATATTTTTGGTACGCTAGGTTTTCGTAAACAGTCTCACTAAACAGTTATATTGGAGTGTGATTTTTGCTTGTTATACGCTCATAAGCGTGTAAGATGATTACTGTTAGGTTTTAAAAGGACTATAATTTCAGGATCTCGGTTTCTTTAGCAATGGGTTACCTTCTATAGAACGGGATGCCACATTTACCGGTGGTTCGTTTTGGCAAAGTAATAACTCCAGTTTAATTGATGATTACTTAGGATCTCTGGACGTCTGGGAGAATGCAGATTACAATCCATTGAATAATTGCAATCTTTCAGAAAGCGAAATCATGCATATGTTTGGTCCTTGTTTGGATCGTGCAAGTACTCAGATTCTTACGTTAGCCTGACTGACACTTTCACCTCCCTTTAAAATTTAGATACAGGTTTAGGCTTTGTACTCAGCGTGGCATGTTCACAATTTTAAGTTACTGTTTTCAATTTTAAAGAAGGATGGAGTGAAAGTCGTCTTGGAGTTATTGCATCGTTCTCTGTAATCAGTACCGCTTAAAATTGGTTAAATCAAGGATTTGTGGCATTTTCCAACTCTTTGTTTCTCCAAATTCTACATTTTTAAGTCATTGTATCTCATTGAGTGACTAGTTCTGTCTTGACTTCTGTTTCAGTTCTGATCATTTCCGGTTTCAAAGCCACTTCCAGAAAATATTCCTCATGGTATAGTCGTAGAAAAGCATTTTTAGTGATGGCTTTTACAGTTCAGTTTTATATTTGGATTGTTTTACGAGTATCACTCATGATTGTTGAAGCACAGCCGTCATTTTCAATTCAGAGAAATATTGAAGCCCATTTTGAGTCGTGTAGGACGGGTTTGTATTCTTTCCATGTGTTGTATCTCTACAAGTTCTTGGGATTTAAATTGTTCTTGTTAGGTGTTGCATCTTAGCGTTCTGGTTTAAGTTTTCTTCTCTGGTTGCTATGGGTATTAGGTCCAATATGTGAATTTTGTTCCAGTTTTCGTTGCTTCTTTATAGTTTAAGTTCTTTAATTATGTAAACGCAGTGTGCAGTCTAGTTTGTAGATATAATTATTGCAATATTTTTTTCGAAAACTTATTGTAACGGCTTTATTTGATGTTTTATAGGGGTTATTTGATCATTTCCAAACTTCTGAATGCCAGTTTTGACTTCCTTTTGAATGTTATCTTTTTTTGTATGTTTTTGATAACAATTGTTAATGATGGTGTTTATTTCGAGTTTTCAAATGGCGCTTTAATGTTGTAATGTTTTTTGAACCCTCGCGGGGAAAGAAAAGAGAAAGAAGCGGAAAAAAGTAATTTTCAGAATCATCAGTTTCGTTCTATGTCTATGCAGCGTCTGTTCAAAGAACTTAAAGATTTTTTTTGGACAACAGATATTGTTTTCCTGTCTTACACGCCCGTTAGATTTGGCTTCATCCTGTTGAATTGTGTTGTATTTTATTTTTTATTTTTTATTATTTTTTTTTTGCGGGTTTTTTTTCTATCTCTGCTTTGTCGAATCCCTTTTGCTGGACTGTTCACAATATCTCTTGTTTTTATGTTTGTAAATTCCGTTTGGTCGATTTAATTTTATTGATTTGTTGCCGAGAAGATATCTTAAGTTCAACGTTGTTTTTTTTTTCTTTTTTTTTTTGTGGTTGGAGCTAGTCGGTTTTTTGTTTGAAGAACATTAATCAGTCGTCAAAGGTTTGTTCTCCTTCTCTTGTAGCAGCCGTGGACTTCTTAAAAAATTTTAGTTTGAGTGTTGAAAATATGTGTGAATGAAGAAATGGGTGTTACTTTTGTTGTTCAAATGTATATTTGCTAAATGCTTCCACTAACGGTATGTCGACTGAAATCTCAGTATGCATTTTTGTTTTTTGTTCCTAACAGATGTATTCCTGTGGTGATTCGCTTTTCTTTTTCTCGTAGTTTTGCTGTTTCTGTTTTCACAATTTTCTTCGTTTCTATTTTTCCGTTTTTCGTTTGATAAAAGTCATTTTAATTCTGTCTTTGTAATCATTTGCTTCCAAATATCTCTTTCTGTCTGTCTCTCGGTATTGGTTTCGTGTGGACGATGTAATTTAACTCCAACTGACCTCATTTTTGCTTTGTTATTCCCAACGTGTTTCTTTGGTTTCCCTTTTAATTATTATTAATGTAAACTTTTTGTAGGCTTTTATTATTATTATTATTATTATTATTATCATTTTTATTATTATCATGTATTTTCCCTGCATGTTATATACTCTCAGAAAATATTTCTAGTTGCACTATGCATTCAGTCATTCATTCATTCATCCATCCGTATAATATATTGTCTCCGCCTATGTTACACAACTGTACATTCTAATAAATTTTATCAACTTCCATGTAAAAATATATCAATGATTTCTGAATTACATAAAAGCATCTCATGAAGTTAACAAGTATTTTGCTTCATTGTAATCGCAGCATATGAGGAAAAGCAATGTACAAAAAAACTTCAAACATGATACAGCAAAGGAGATGGACAACTGGAAGGAAGAGGGTATATGTTTATAAAAGTGAGGAGAGGGGAAACATTAACGCTGCTGGAAAGTGGCGGCATAAGTGTTATTCCGGTCCGAGGGTTCAAGGAACATTCAAATAGTCTGTTGATTTTTAGACAGCAACAGTTGCTTATCATTGATTTAGCGAGCTTCAAGTTTAGGTCAGTTTGCTTGGAAATTTATAGCCAGCGAGCAACTGTTTTGCGCGTCGAATAAGTTACTTCTGGCTATTTTTTTTTCTTATGCGCAAGATTTTTAACGGTTTTAAGATTGATCAGGTCTTTCATTTTTTCTCGAAGCAGTTGGTGCTGTTAACTGTTGCTGTCTTAAGGTGACAGAACAGTACGGGGTCGAGATTCTGAAGTTGTTTTTGAGTCTCAGGTGAATGATGGAGGCAGATGTGGTGAAAGATTAATGGTTACCACCAAAACAGCTGTTAAAGTATTTTAAGGTATTTGGTGAATTAATTGGTTGGGTGCAGTTTGCCCCACCCACTTGTCGTCCCATATCCAATCAGTGTGACAGTATCATCGTCCATTATGTACATTCACCGAGGGGGAAAGGTATAGAAAATGGGAT